TATATAATATTTTAATTTTATCCTTAAATTGCGAGTATCATTCTAAATTAGTTTTCAAACTTTTTAACATTTGAATTCCATCCCTAAACTATAACTTCATTAAAAATTGGTCCCCAAAGTTTTTGAATATTTCAATTTCATTTCAAACTATATGTATATACTAATCACATCACTTGCTAATAAAACCGTTAGGACAAATTATATTATTATCTGTTTAAAATTTACATATTTGAATGAATTTAGGAATGAAAGTGAAATATTCAAAATTTTAAGGACCAATATAAAATGAAAGTCATAGTTTGAGGATATATGGTATAATTAACTCTAATAAATATAAGGATAAATTATGTGTTTAGTACCTAAACTATCAATTTCGTATGTTTTAGTATCTTAACTTTCAATTTTTTCAAAATCATATATAAAGTTTAGTTTTTGTTTTATTTTAGTACTATGTTAAAAAATTAATGTTAAATTTGTTTTTTTTTCAAAAGTTTATATACTAAAATAGATTAAAACTGATAGTTTAGGTACTAAATGTGTAAAGTTTTTAATGATGGACACTAAAATGAAACAAAAACTAAACGTTAGATATGACTCGAAAAAATATTAAAAATTTAGGTATTAAAACGGAAATAAAACTTACACTTTAGATATTAAATACATAATTTACCCTAAATATAATCTATGTATTGCACGATTTAATTATTAATCGGTGCCAAATTAATGAAATAAGAATATAAATTTTATATATATTATAAATATGAGGTAAATATGAGGTATTGTCTTTAAATATTTTCAATTATTTAATAGTAAAAGTTTATAATTCTGTATATATTGTGTTCAAACCTAAAACTTGGGTAATAATAAATCTCTTAAACCAATGAAATAATTTAATATATGCATAAACTGTATAGTTAGTATGTACTAAATAATATCATGAAGAACTGAATGGGTAATTAGTAATTAAAACGAAAGTAAGGGGGTAATGTTGTAATTTTAAACGAGCTAAGTATCCCATAAGTAGGCCAATGATTCTTCCAAATAGCGTAGCCTTCTTTTTCACATTCTGTGGAGGAAAACTGCAGCTGCTAAAAGCTCGACAACTCAAACCAAAATAGCGAAAGAGAAATGGCTCTGAAATTAAATCCCATCACTTATCAATCCCACAAACTGCATTCATTTGCTCTTCCTCCAATGGCCAGCCTCCGATCTCCCAAGTTCTTCATGGCCTCCACTCTTCGTTCCGGCTCCAAGTTTGTCTCTTTCTTTCCCCTTTTTTTCTGTGGCCTCTGTACTCATTGTTATGTCTTCAGTGTTCTCTCGTTAAATCTTGGGGTTTTTTTTTACTTGTTTCCTTCATTTTTTTTGCTGATTTCGTATCTGGGTATCTGTTGTTTTTGCAAACTAACTTGAAATATCCTATGATCTCAGTGGTCTCTGATGTGATTCTTTGATCTTAGTGTTCTTATAGTTTAATGGTCCCTAATGCATTTAATGGTCTTTAATGTAGTGCTTTTACGTTTGGGATGATAATTTTTTAGAACTATTGAAATAAGGTTTGTTGCTTATGAAATGCTTGAACTTTCCATAATTTTTGGTCCTTTTTTTGGATTTATTTACTTCTTTTTTGTGGTTGGATGTTTGGTGGATGGTTTACATTTTCGTCATCAAAATTAATACTTTGAGGCTTCATTGGAATTATCACATGCTATGAATTTGAGAATGAATGTGGTCCATGTATCATGTTTAAGTATCTAACTTTATGTAGCTATCATGCGAAGGCTCCATGTTATTTTCTTTTTCTTTTCTTAGTATATTCTCAAGTATATTAATTTCGGTACGCATAATTCTTGTTGGTTTTTAGTATTGATTTGACTGTAAGATACGTATGGATTTCTTGTTCTGATTGGAGCAGCTTCCTTTTTTTTAATGTGCTTTGGATGGTTTCAAAGAAAGATGTAAAACAAAAGCAATGTCGAAAGTTATTATATTGTTTCTTGTAAGCAGCTTTCAAGGAATGTCAAATATTTGGTTTTTTATGTTTCGTTTTTATTGGAGTGGATTTAAAGAATCTGAAAATACAATATGATGTTAAGGCTTTCAATTGTTTTCCATTTGTCTCTTTTGGTTTGGTAGTTTTGGGAGTGGGCTGGATATTAATTCTTTTTCAACCATTTTTGTTTAAAGGAATCAAGTTTTCTTGGGGATTGCAGCTGGTTCTTTCCTAGCATTTTTACCTGTTTTTATGTTTGTATCGTGAGTAGTTTAGCCATGTTGATTTGTATCCTTGTTGATCAACTGATCAGTTAAAAGTGCATCTTTTGGCTGAGATTGCTGATGCCTTATGATATACGCTGAATGCAGAATATTAAATAGTTTGCTTTGTCTGTGCTTGTCATTGCATATGAATGCCCGATTTCAAAAACGTGCGAATGTTCCACACAAAATGGGTCTTTAGATTTTCCATTTATTCTTTTTCATTTGTTTCAATATAGTTGAATCTATCTTTGAAAAGAAATTCAAGTTGGTGGAAGTTGTTTAGATTCTCTAGAAATGCTGATGAGTAACATAATATAGTTGAATCCACATTTTGAAAAGAATATTCAATTTGATAGTAGTTCAGAATATGTTGTCCTCATTCCTTGATTCTATATTGTTTCATTCCTTCTATTTCTTGCACAATTTGTTGAAAATTCTTATGTTTCTCCTTTGAATCTACTTAATTAAACGTTTTAATAAACCGAGTATTTGGTACTTTTTCTTCTCATTTTATCTTTAACTTGTACCATTTTGTATATGTTTGACAAGTATAATTACTGAAATTAGTCTTAATGCTTTCGATTCTTCCCTTCTATTACTATGTCAATCAAATTTATGCATGGCTGAATCTTCGAGTATTGTAAAAAGAACATTCAAAGTAATTTTCCTTGAGCTTTCTTCCTGGTATCAGTATTCGACATCTTTGTGGTCCATTCTTGATCTAGGTTTCATATACCGTGCTAGGTTATGACGATTATAGACATCTATGCATTTTCTCTTGTTTGTTTGATGCACTTTCCTTGTGTTTGGTGTGAGTGGTTGTTGAGAGTTGCTGATAGCTACTTGTGCTTTTTCTGATAAATAAATGGTAATGTAGATTTTGATAATTTAATTACTGTTTTTATTTAATTACTTGTATGATTGAACTTTAAATCTAATCAGATGAACTCTTGGATGGTCACTTAACTACTATGGTTTTCAGTACGTCTATTAGGAGTCACTTTGCTCATTTCGTTTCTGCTGTGCACGACATTCATCATTCAGATCGATATTTCTTATCATCTAAATTCCCTTGTCGGTTACACATTACTTACTCAAAATTCTGATAATCTCTACATTCACCCTTTTAATTCAGTCCGGTTGTATAATCAGGTATTCACATGTTGATCATAACAAAGCTGCTTTTGTTTTGGCCAACATATATGGCCTTTTTCATTACTGTTTACTTTTGCATATTCCATAACATCCTGCTTTATAGTGTCAGTGTGCTGGATTTCATGGAACATGCGGTAACCAAATTTATGAGATGGGTTTTGTGTGTTTATGATTCATTGATGCCTTTTAATTCTTACTGACATTTCTGATTGCTAAGAATGTTATCTCAAATTTGTTTTTCTCTTAATGCTGAGAGGTTGACAATCTCAAAATGCCTTTCATGCCACCTAGGGAGGTGCATGTTCAGGTCACACACTCGATGCCACCTCAGAAGATTGAGATCTTCAAATCTTTGGAAGACTGGGCTGAGAACAACATTCTAACATACCTCAAACCAGTTGAGAAATGTTGGCAACCCCATGATTTTCTTCCGGATCCTACTTCGGATGGATTCTATGAGCAAGTCAAAGAACTTAGGGAAAGGGCAAAGGAGATTCCGGATGATTACTTTGTTGTTTTGGTTGGTGATATGATCACGGAGGAAGCTCTTCCAACCTACCAAACCATGCTTAATACCTTAGATGGAGTTCGTGATGAAACGGGTGCTAGCCTTACTTCTTGGGCAATTTGGACAAGGGCATGGACGGCCGAATAAAACAGGCATGGTGATCTACTTAACAAGTATCTCTACATGTCTGGAAGAGTTGACATGAGGCAAATTGAGAAGACAATCCAGTATTTGATTGGATCAGGGATGGTAAGGAAGATACATTCTATAAATTTTCTCTCTTCTCATAGTTTATTTTTGAAACCTAAGATGCACTAACACATGGAACTTTATCGAATCCGTTTCTGTTCATCTTCGGATTTGGATTAACATCTTGTTGTTTGCATTAAAGTATTGCACCATAAGACTTCTGGAATTTCACTAAATCATGTAGAAACCGGCTCCATAAAGGCATCTTCCCTGTGTACTACCCTGTGTAGATGCCATATTTCTTAAATTTTCTTCTTCTGTATATTTACAGGATCCACGTACGGAGAACAATCCATATCTTGGATTCATCTACACGTCATTCCAAGAAAGAGCAACATTCATCTCCCATGGGAATACAGCCCGACTGGCAAAGGAGCTTGGTGACATCAAATTGGCTCAAATCTGCGGTAACATTGCCTCAGATGAAAAGCGCCACGAGACTGCGTATACTAAAATCGTTGAAATGGAACGGTCTTGGCATTTGCTGACATGATGAGGAAGAAAATCTCCATGCCGGCACACTTGATGTATGATGGCCGAGACGACAACCTTTTCGATAATTTCTCAGTTGTTTCTCAAAGACTCGGGGTTTACACGGCCAGAGACTATGCTGATATCCTAGAGTTCCTGGTGAACAAATGGAAGGTGACGGATATAACCGGACTTTCAGCAGAGGGTCGTAAAGCTCAGGATTATGTGTGTGGACTTGCTCCGAGAATCCGAAGGCTGGAAGAGAGAGCTCAAGGAAGGGCCAAGCAAGCACCCAAGGTTCCATTCAGCTGGATATTTGACAGAGAAGTCCAGCTCTAAGCCTCGAGTTGAAAAATAGCGATTTCAATTTCCTGCAGCAGAGTTAGAAAGGAACATGGTGATGAAGCTTTTGCATTTTGTCTTTAAATTTCCCATATAATGTTTGCCCGGACAACTTTCATTCAACCGAATTCAAGTTAATTAAGTAAATGTGTATAAACGAAACCCAAGTGATCAAATTCAATCGATTTCGATCACTTAAGTTTGCTCCATTCAAACTTATGCTTGATTTGATTTGATACGCTTTAAAAAAATTAGGATTTTAAGGGTTGGATTAGTCTGTTTAATTTAATAATTTTAGATTTAAATTGTTCCGAGTTCAGATAATTTTAGGTCGAATTAATTTTTGATCATATTGATTTTGGATTATTTCAGATTCAAATTTAGATTAATTTAGGTTTCAATCACTCTAGTCTTTTGGATTGGGTATTTTGAATTCGAGTTTGACACTCAAGTAAAAGTGCCATAAGTCTAGGTTATTCGAGTTTGACACTGATTAATTAATCAATTAATTAATTTTAGCAAAATAAATTGGAAGTATCTAGTATAATACCCAATACTATGGCAAACTACATTCAATACTACGACAAGCTCACAAGAACCCAACATGGTCAGTTGTTGAAGTAAGCTACTTGGCACACCACTTAATCAGCCATTAGGTGATATCCTATTCAAAAATTTTACCATCCATTTGAAAAAAAATTAAATCGTATTCACCCTCAAACTTCAATTGAATTAAGTCCGATAAAGACGAGTTTAAGATAAATTTGATTATTTTAAAACTCATAATTATTGGATTGCACCCCGTTTTTACTACAAATTCTTGACTTTTGATTTAAAAAATAGAAGTTCAAACAAGTAAATACCAAAAATCCAAACAAATAATTAAACGAGTGACCACTCTGATCACAAACTGGTGATGAACAGGCAATACAATAATATGAAGTTGTATGGAGAGCCCTCCACTAACAAAAGCTTTATATATGGGCCTGGGTGTTAAATAATTAAACTTGGAAAGGCCATGGCCAGTTCTTCAAATCCTCATCTGCAACTTTCCCATTCCTCTGGTATGCCGATTGTCCGCTGCCATTGCCAACCCCATGGCCTTCCACAAAAGCATAGTACCTCAACACGAAAGCCAGACCCAACACCACCCATTCCAAGCAGAATACAGCCACGCATAACCCACCAGCCAACTTCAATATCATCTCCCCTTCTTCTTCCCTCACGTACGACCTCAAATACCCCAAGAAATCCGACGTTCGGGTCAGTATGAGCACCGAGACCGACCCCTGGAATATGGAAGTCAGCACCATCACCACCATGTGAGCCGCGTAGCACTTGTTGGACCCCGAAGTGACGACGGAGCATCCCAAGACGGCGGAGGTGATGGTGATGGCGTGGAGGAGGATGAGGAAGAATCCGCAGAGGGAAGGGAGTAGGCGGAGGGAGAGGGTGAGGAAGATGCAGGCGGAGGCTGCTCCCAAGAGGATGTAGTTGGCGATGAGGAAGGTTTTGTGGGTTCGGGTGTGTGATTGTGTTACCGAATTCTCAACTGAGAGACCCATTGAAGAGAGTAAGCTTTGGAATTAAAAAAAGAAAACAAAATTTCTGGTTCGAAATTCTGTTTTTTAGAGAGAGATTTTGAGGGTTTGATGGAAGGGAAAGAGAAGAGAGCTACTATATATAAAGCGAGAGGGTTTGGACTCTGGAGCTAACGTTCGTATTTTTCATGTGGACAAGCTGGAAATGTTACCGTTGAGCCACGTAATAAAGCTTAAGCTTGTAACGGCAGGCTTTGGTTTCTGCCAAATCAGTATACACCTTCTCCTATTTTATACTTACACATTTATATATTTTATTAAGTCAGTTCAAATCTTCGAGAGTTAGATTATCCATCCAATATTAAATGTTTGTTCTAAATTTGAACAAATTTAATCAGTTTGGGAAAAATAAAAAGTAGATTTTTTAAATTATAATTCGAGATTTGATTTATTTTTTGAGTAGATCGGTCGGTAAAATTATCCATTTTTGTTCCCTCACGTTCTCTTAGGCGATAGTTCTAAATTTACTAAGAACATTTCATTTTCTTTTCCTACAGTCTCTCCTCCCCTCTCATAATATTAAGATTAAAATTGATCTCTTTCTGAAGTTTTATAATATATTATATTCATTAATTTTTCCCTCTCATATTATTAAGATTAAAATCGATCTCTTTTCTGAAGTTTTATATATATATTCATTAATTTTGATATATTATATAAAAATTAATTCTATAGTAAAATAATATTATAATGTAAACATTGTAAAATATATTAAGTTGTAAGTGTATTTATAAGGATAAAAATAAATTCAATAAAAACAAAATATATAAAGTCATTAAATATTAAATTAAAATGAGAATAAATATTGGAAAATAATATTATTAAGTCGACAATGGACTTGGATTATTATCTACAAATACAGATAAATTTGGATAAAACTTGAGACTATACAATATAATAGCTCATAGATAAAGGGGTTGACGACTTACTAAACCTGTGAAACTTTTTATTTCATTGTCCACAAAAAATAGTTATCTTGTTTTATTTTAAATTTTAAATTATTTTTCATTTATATATAAAAAAATCTATTAAAAACAAAGGTACGGATATTTGATTGATTTTCAAAATTTTAATCAATAAAGTTAGAACTACATTTTCAGATTAATATAAAAAATATTGAATAAGGGTTAATCCATTTTACAACTAAAATTAATCAATAAAAATTGCTAAACGTGATAATTTTGAACAAATTTTATTAAATTATCAATAAAGATGTCGTGTTCTGAGAGACAAAACTACAGAGAAAATACAACTTTCCAAAGGCTGACAATAAGACTTCTCTAAGATTACTCTTGCAATCACTAACAGTTAGTTATTATAACACCCCGACTCTCAGGCTAGTAATTCGGGTTAACTCGAGACCTAAAGTTGAGCCCAAATGATTTTATAAAATAGTTAAATCAGTTTTATGTTAGTGGGCTTCTGTTGGGCCCAAAATATTTGGGTGATAGGTGATTAGTGTTTTATGTAAGAGAAAGTAAAGGGGCTAATAGTATAATTTTCTCTTATTATTTTAAAGTTGAATACCTCTCCTTTTTATATCATGTTTACATGAACCACCCCCAACATTTTCTCACCAAACACTTATCTTCTTCATCATTTTTTCTTTTCTTCTTCCTTTCTTAAGTGCAAAGTTTTAAAGATTCAAGCTTAATTTGTTGTAGCCAAGGTAAGAATGTTTCTCTCTATCCTCCAAACTTTGTTTTAAGCTCCATTTTTGTAAGTTTTAGAATTAGTTTTCAAAATGGGTTTTCCTTGAAGATAGGATGAATCCTAGTTGATTCAAGAGGTGTTTTAGCAGCCAAGGAAGTAAGGTAACACGCTTATAGGTTTCTCATACCAAGTGTAGATCATGGAAAGTTAAGACGTGTTAGAAAGTTAAGTTTAAAGCATGTTTAGTAATTTCCATGATAGATTATTCTAATGATGTTGTATGCATGGTATAAAGCCTTGTTTATGCCCCTTGTAATCGCATAAGACTTTAAAGAATGTTTGGGGACCTCACTAGGGTCTTTGAGATTGAAAAATAGAGTTTTTAGTACTTGTTTTATGACTTCTGTAGGTAGAGTATCGATACTATAGGGATATTATCGATACTTGTTCTTCGTTTTGGGCAGATTCGTGAGTTTTTAGACAAGAGTATTGATACTCTTTTAAAAGTATCAAAACTTTGGGTTATAGTTTAGAAACTCCCAAAAAGTTTCAAAACTGGGCAGAACAAAATGTTTAAAAGTATCGATACTTATATAAAGTATTGAAACTTTAGCATAAGTATTGATACTCTTGGGCTAGTATTGATACTTTCAGTGTGTTTTGGTCAAAACGTTGCCTAGAGGCCCTAGACCCATAATATGACCATAAATGTGATCAAATATGTGTAAAACATTAGAATAAGTGCTATGAAGGTGTTAAAGTTGGGTTAACATGGATTAAATAGTTGTAAGGGTATTGATATCTTAGGAAGGGTATCGATACTACAAGAGGTATTGACACTGTAAGGCCAGTATCAATACCAGGGTTGAGAAATGGGCTTTAAGTCTAGAGAATGTATAGAGGTAAGTGAGGTTTCCAAAAACTTATAATACCTCTCAAATAAGACTACAAGTGAACATTTATTAATGTTAATTTCAAACGTAGAAAAGGGAATAAAGTAGAGTGAAATAAGACTAGCTTTGTTTGAATGCTCGGGAAAACGACCATGACACCCGAGTTCTTTTAGAAAAGATAGCAGAGTCGACAGTATAGATTCAGTCTGGATATCCTTAGGTAGGGCCGAGGCCCTTCTGACTAACTATATTTGTAGAGGCCTTAACACTCTTTAAAAGAAAGGGTGGGTTAGTCAGGGGTATGGTTTTCAATGCATAGAATTTCGGGGGCCATATCCATTGTAGACTAGAGAGGTGTGTGAGCTCCGAGATACAAAACCTTCAGTTGCACCATGATGTCTACCATATCGTAGAGAGTGAATATTCAAGAATAATCATTAAAGCAGTTTTAAAGCAGACTAACTTGGACACAAGGTCCATTACTCAAGGAGTGGGTTAGTAGAACATAACAGATAATAGAATAAATAATATTAGACTTGATAGTTTAAGCTTTTCAGTGATGCAGTTACTATGTTTTAGTTGTGTGGCGCTGAACTAGTTAGCCTAACCGTTTTTGTGTATACGTATTTTATTTGTCCATTTTCTATTCGTGCTTAATAACAAAACCTTTTCTTTCGTGTTCTAGTTTGCCTTTAATAACTGCCACTGCTGATGGGCCTAACACATTGAGACCACCTTAACCAGGGCTAAGTTTGAGGAATTGTGCTCAGACATACTTGACAGGTATTTACACTTGTTATCATTTCAATCTTCTTTTATCATGCTTATTTTTTAAAAGAGGTTTTTAAGTTTCTCGTCTATTTTATATAATCTGAAAGCTTAAGACACCTGTGGAGAATTCCTTGAGGTATGCCAAACTTTCCTTCAAAGACATAAATGATATTATCCTTGTTGGTGGATCGACACGTATTCCTGCTGTTCAGGAACTTGTGAGGAAGATGACCGGCAAGGAACC